GGGTGATTTCTCGCTTTCTGTCTCTATGTCTCTCTCTGTCTATCTGGCGAGTGCACGCGCCCTACAGTGAAAATCTCTCCAAAAAAAAACAAAAACAAAAACACCTTCCAGCTTCTGTCATTTACCACTTCTTCAACATTCAGTTCTGATTGCATCCATTTCAACTTTGTCTGCTCTTTTCTAAGTTGCTTTAATAATGCTTAATCGTCCAGATTCTTTTCTTTCTCTTCTCGGAGGCTTTTTACTACTGCTGAGGTCTGGGCTATACAGTTTTTTATGACTCTGTCCCTACTGGCATGAGCTGCCATCAGAGACTCATAAAGTTGTTTACAGGTTTGACTGGCATCAATTTTCCCTGCAAAGGAAGCTGTTGGAACCGTAGTGTTTAATTCATGTACTATTCTGTCATCAATTGTCCTCATCACCTTGAGTAATTCCTGGAACTCGGCAAACTCTTCACAGTTCACACCGCCACTGGGCGCCGCCATATTGGCTATTTCACATTGTTTTTTAAAAACATTAATTTACTTCGCTTGCTCTTTTTCTTTTTCTCTTTTGATGGCTATAGGATCTTGGCCTCACTACAGTTTGGGAAGACCAGCTTTCTTATTTGTTATCACCGGCTTTGGCTTCTTATGAATTTGAGCGTACAACGAGTATCTCTGCAGGCAATGAAGAATTTCAGGATGCTATCAGGAGGGCTGTGCCTGATGGTCACACATTTAAAGGATTCCCGATACATTTTGTGTATAGAAATGCAAGGCGTGCATTTGCCACGTGTCTTCGGTAAGGTATAATTTAAGGAGTTATAAATGTTTTGGGTTTAAAAATCTTAAAAACCAGTTAGTGTAATAGTTGTTTAGGTCTATCAGAATCACATGGTTTTCTGTGAGTTAGCCTCCTTGCCACAAATTTTTATTTGTTAGGTCTGAAATGTAGCCCTAGAACATAAGTGATAATTTTCCCACTCATTTTGGGAGCTCATTTGAGGATCTGGGATCTTGTCAAATATACTTTTTAAAATATAGACTGAGGAAATATGTGTAATTTGGATAGCTTGACCAAAATTATGGAGCCAATGGTTTCAGAGGCAGGAGTTTTATTTTTTTTTTTTAGAGATTTTTTGCTATAGGGTGCTTGTGTTCACCAGAGAGACAGAAAGTGAGAAATCACACCCCTTCCCCAGGGAGTGGCCATGCTGCAGTCCCTTCTTCATTCTTTTTGGGATTTTGGGCATGCACGCACACACATACCTGGCATGAGTTTTAAACCACCGGGTCAGAGGCCCAATTGCTGTTGACTACGTGGGAGTCCAGTGACATAACCATTATGCCATCTGCTAGTCCCTGGAGGCAAGGTTTTTTTTGTTTTGTTTTGAAATTATTTTATATATTGACTTACTTGGAAATAAAGAAATAAACCCTGTGGTCTCTTCTTAATTGAATACATTTTTTATTCCATAGATCTCCTTTCTGTGAAGAAATAATTTGTTGCCGTGGAGACCAGGTGCGACTGGCAGTTCGCGTCCGAGTGTTTACTTACCCTGAATCTGCATGTGCTGTTTGGATCATGTTTGCTTGTAAATATCGCTCAGTATTATAGGACTAACATTTCTGTAAGAATTATATCTGAATTCTAGCTGTTTAGAGGTTTCTTATTTTAAACTTATAATCTGGCTTGGGTATCATTTGAATTTTGTACATATACCTGACTGATAATGTTTAAAAAATCATAAGGTGTGTTATTTAAAAATTAAGGATGAACAAGGATAAAAAAGGGAAAAAATAAATAAAAATTAAAATTAAGGATAAACAACTTGTATAATATAAGTGGAATTTAGTATAAATTAAGTGTATATTCTATTTTAATAATGCTACTTTGTTTACAGGTATTCTATAGTTTAAATGTGAATATAAAATTTACTCAGTTTTCTTTATATGAATAAATAATCATAGAGATATTTGTGTAAGAGTTATAAGCCATAGTAAAATCAACACTATTATTTTTCATTGACTGATGGGATTATTTTATATGATTTAGGAGAATTTAAACCTCACCACAAATTTATTTATTAAAACGATGAAAATACATTTTGATGAATTCACTTTTGTGGTTTACCAATGGCCAAAGGGATGCTTGAGACTTGCCAGAAATTTATAGGAAGACCTTGAAGCAAGTGTAGGAAAAAAATTAGTTACCAGACAAGCATAAAGATTAATAACAAACCTCACATGAAAGCATATAATTTTAAGTGTCAGTTTGATTCATTATAAAAATTAACTGGGGGGATCAGCAGTTGGCGTAATGGTTATGTTGCTGGACTCCCATGTAGTCGACCGTGGTTCAAGTCCTGGACCTGGTGGCTTAAACTCGTGCTGAGCACGTGTGTGTGCATGTCCAAGATCCCTAGAGGAGAAGGGATTGCAGTGTGGCCATCCCCCCTAGGGGGTGATTTCTTGCTTTCTGTCTCTCTGGCTAGTGCATGCGCCCTATAGCAAAAACCTCTCCAAGAAAAAAAAATTAACTGGGTATTTTAGAAAAATATTATTGCACCCCTTTGTTATGATACTGACAAATTGTTTTCTATAATTGGCAGTCCGTCACTGATTTTTGTGGACCAACGATTTGTTAGCAGCTTCTGCATGGAGTCCATGTTCTCTAGACATCTCTTCTTTTTTCTTTGTGGTTAAAAACTTTAGTGAATATGTGACTAATCTAAATGAGGGAATCATTGTGTGAGACCACTGAAAACAAGCATATCTGAGTGACTCCATGCTGGTCCTTGTTTCAAAATTGAGCAAGCATTAAAACGGTTTAGGTTTTTGCCATAGGGCGTTATGTACTCACCTGAGCTAGAAAGAGGAAAAGTGAGAAATCACCCCCGGGGTGGGGGTGGCCATGCCACAATTCCTTCTCTCTTTTCCTTTTGGGATTTTGGGCACATGTACACAGGAACCCGACATGATTTTCAAGCCACCAGATCAAGGACTTGAATCATGGTCCACCAAGCGGGAGTCCAGCACTTGAACTACTTTGCCACCTGCTGGCCTCTTAGAAGGTTTGTTTTAAGTGAGCACAAGTAAGAATTAAAAAGACTAGCAATTTTCCCTTTTGGAAGAAACTGCATGTAATAAGTGACATGTTTGTCCATTTAGCATTTCTGTGTGTGGTTCTTAATTCACTTGCTTTATCCGTTGATCTTAAAGAAACTGTATTCCAGCTGGCTGTTCAAGTTACTCTTTTCATCACTTTTTTCACCACTGCAAAGAAAATGATTTCATGTTTTTAAAAATTTACTGTTTTATTTTTATATGTGATAAATATTAATATGTATGATTAACTTGTTTAAGAAACCTGGAAATATATTATCCCTCTTAATACCAGTTTTCACTGAAAATGATAATCAGATATTTTTTGTGAGACTGACATGACTTTAGAGAATTAGCAAAATAAGAATTAAGACTTTTTTACTCTGTTGCTAAAATTACAAATAAGGCCACCAACAGAAAATTGTTTGTCATTTCCAACTTTTAGACAAACTACATGTACTATGAAGCAGCCTGTCTTTAAGACTAAGCTTGTATTAACATTGAGGTTGTGCTTCCTGCCTAACTGTACCAGAGTAACACACGTATTCCAAATGTACTTTTGGTATAAATTCTAAAATAAATTTGCTTTTTAGGTGCTTTAATAGCCTGGCACTAATTAATATTTTTTGTAAAGGTAATTTATTTCGTAAGATTATTTCAGTCATTTATTACTAGAATTCTGCCATCCTTCTTAACTAATAATTTTTTTGAGACTTAAATTTATCATCATAAAAGTTAGGTTTTTAATTTAAAAAGTAGAAAATTTCTGTAATGCCTCTAATGCATTCTTTTTGACAATAAATACACTGGCATGGTTCTCTGTATATAATTCAGGGGTTGTTTGTTTTTTGTTTCTTTCAGATTTTTGTCATAGGGTGCATGTGCTCTCTAGAGAGAGGGAAAGAAAGAAAAATAGATAGAAAGAGATGATGGCCATGCCACAGTCCCTTCATCTGCCTCTGGGGATTTTGAGCACATGTGGACATGTGCCCTGTGTTATTTTCAGGCTTCTGAGTCTGGGACTTGAACCACAGAGTTGGCCATGTGGGAATTTAGCACCTTAACTACCACACCACTTGCTGCCCCCGGAATTATTTATTTATTTATTTATTCATTCATTCATTGTTTCATTTATGCACTTGCTTGATAGAAGGCACATGTGCTCAGCAAAGAGACAGTGCTCAAGGAGAGACAAAACAGAAGCACCCCTGGTGGGGAAAAGTTGGACTGAAGTCCCTTCTTCATCTTTCCTTCCTGTCAGGATTTTGGGGCATGTTTACCAAGCTGCTGGATCCAGGATTTGAACCACAGAATCAGATTGCCTGGGGAAGCTGGGGTCCAGGAAGTGAGCTGCCTGAGGTTACTTGTGGTGTAGTAGGTCAGTAAAAGAATGACACTGTAGAATTCTCTTGCTTGGATACATGAGAGAGAGATTCAGTGAATGGCGGCTGAGATGCTGGGATAGTGTCCACTAATCTGCATCCAGGAAATATTTCAGTCCTATTCAGTTTGTATTCAGAGAGAATTTTGAAATCCATTTACAAATTAGGTATAACCAGTCATTTATTTTCTTTGCCAAAATGCTTGGTGAGCAGTGGGAACACAAAACAGTTTGATTGCCTGAAGTTATAATTGCTTATTTGAACGTAAGCAAACAAACCTTATCTTCAATTTAAAAAGAAATTTTAACACTTTAATTGAGGTATAATGTACATGCCATACAGTTAATTCAGTTTCACAGTCAGTGGTTAGTAGAATATTTGAGGAATGAGCAGCCATCACCAGTCAATTTCAGACTGTTTTCATTACCCCTGAAAAATACCGTGTACCTTTAGCTATCACCCCCCCTACATCTCTCATAATTCCCAGCCTTAAGCATCCACTAATCTACTTCCTCTCTATAGATTTCTCTATTGTGGATTTTTATATGAATGGATCAAGTAATATGTAACTTTTTTCTTTTTAATATGTAATCTTTTAAAACTGACTTTAATTTGGCATAATTTTTTGTTTTTTTTCTTTTAGGTATTTGCAGTATAGTATGTATATTCCTCAGAGAGACAGAGAGGGGAAAGTGAGAAATCACCCCTTGGGGGGATGATAGCCACACCACAGTCCCTTCTCTTCCATTCTCCTCACCTCAGGATTTTGGGCATGCACACACATGTGCAGCAGGGTTTTCAAGATGCTAGGTTGGGGACTTGAACCATGGTCACCTGTGTAGGAGTCCAGTGCCTTAACCACCACGCTATCTTCTGGCCCCTCATTTGGCATGATGTTTTTAAGGTTCCTCCATGTCATAGCATACATCATCACTTTGTTTTTTTGAGCAAATTATATTCCACTGTGTCAGTATGCCATATTTGTTTATCCACTTGTCAGTTGATCATCAATTTGGTTATTTCTACCTTTTGGCCATTATGAATCATGCTGTTGTAAACGTGTGTGCAACTTTTTGTGTGGGCACATGTTTTCATTTCTCTTGAATATACACTTAGGAGAAGAATTACTGGATCAGTCAATGATAACTATGTTTACCATTTTGGTGATCTGACAAACAGTTCTTCAAAGCTATTGTACCTTTTTTTTTTAATTTAATTTATTCAGCTTGATTTTTTTTATTTTACTTTTATTTGACCAGAGAGGGACAGAGAGAGAGAAAGCAGGAAAGTGAAAAAGCAAGTCACCAGGTCCGGGACTCGAACTGTTCTTGTCCATGTGGAAGTCCAGTGCCTTAACCACCACACCACCTGCCAGCCCCACTACTGTACCATTTTACAATCCCACCAGTAGTGGACGATACCTCAGATTCCTTGCTTGCCAACACCTCTTAGCACCCAACATTTTTTCTTATTTTTAAAATTTTTATGGAGAATATGTACTTGCCAGAGAGAGACAGAGAAAGAGAGGAGAGGGAGAAAGCACTCTCCAGTGGGGAATGATCATGCCACAATTCCTTCTCTATTTCTGTACCCTGTCAGGATTTCGGGCACACATACACAGCATGTTTTTCAATGCTCTGGGGCTAAAATTCCAACCTCATGGTGAGGCAAGAGAGATGAAGCTCCCTTACCCATCAGGCCACATAGCCGGCCATTCCTTATTTTTCAGATAGGGTCTTGCTATGAAATGATCTTCCTGCCTCAACCTCCCAAGTAGCTGGGACTGCCAGTGCCAGCCACAATACCCAGCTTTTAGAGTGGGCTTGGAATCAAATCTGGACCTCCCATGTGACCTTTGCATCTACTCAGTGTGTACTACTGCAGGTGGGCCCATCTGAGTTTTTGATTCTAGCCTTCCTAGAGAGTGTGAAGTAGTAGCTTGTGTAATTTTGATTTGATGTCCATTTCCCTGATAACTAACAATGTTGAGTATTTCTTCATATGCTTGCTTATTGGCCATTTGTATATCTTAGAAAACTGTCTATCTAGATCTTTTGCCTATATTTATTACTCTTTAAATGATTGAGTTGTAAAAATTCTTTATGTATTATAGATACAGTTTTTTAAAATTATTATCTTTTTTTTAGAGAACTTTTTTGTGGGACCAGCAGTTAGCATAATGGCTATGTCGCTGGACTCCCATGTAGTGAACTGTGGTTCCAGGGCTTGGCCCCACGGGTTTT